ACCAAGTCCCCAACCAACGCGCTGAATGAGGAATAAATCGTGGACGTTTTCACCTCCCATGACTTCATTACAAGCAGCGTAGCGTGCCGCAACAAATGGGCCCTGCGCGGCTCCTAAAACTGAATTATGTGGGAGATAATATGCTGTCACCCGAGCCATATATGCCAGAACACCTCGAGTGTCAGCAAGAGGTGCTCAAGGCATACATGGCGAGAAGGTGACAGTATGTTATTTGACATACACACCGGTAGGATTTTACCGAATAACACCCCTAAACTTTCATAAAGCGTATATCGATACGGTAACATAGCATCTCTATGTGTGCATCTTAAGTATAATCATTATTGTATTACCTTTCGTCACAATTGGCATGCTGAAGATTTATGAACCGTACATATCAAACGTCACATCCCATGAAAAAACATTCGGCATCATTTTGTTTCCAATTTCCCCTTTATAATTCGACTTTGAAACCCTTGGTGATCGTTTTATGAAAAGTCACTATACTGAGTAAAATATACATAAACGTTTATATATTTACAAAAATGCAAAGCTTTTTTAATGCCTACCTGCTCCAAATGAAATTACTCCGGCCAAAGACTTGCACAACGGTAAAATAAAACAAGCAAGCGCTAACAACAGTGAACATCCGGTATACATATATAACAGATAGCCCTTGATGTAGTCGCCTAACATTCCAACTAGAAATCGAGAAATTAAGTTACCAACGCCATCTGCCGTGAGTGGAAATGTTGACACATAGCCGTGGAATCCCTGATCCTCGGCGTACTTTACCTGGAACACAATGGTGTATTTAAAATAAGTTACCAAAGCCAAATAAAAATGCATCAGAACAGTGCGTTTACTGGCTATAACTGAATTATTTATACTGTAAATTATAGTTTACAAAGACATATTGGACAGTCTCCTGTAAAATTTTATTTTCATATGTAGGGCTCCCTTAACTTACCAAAAACGTATACATCACAGATTGGCTTAATCCATTGCACCAAGCTGTCATAAACCACATAGTCATCAGCATTACTTTCATCCATTGACTCCAGGATATAGTGTGTGTGATACCCTGGTCACTCTTCATATTTATCACGTCTTCTGATTTTGGCTCCCGATATACGCATCCGGTGAAAACTCCAAGGAGAAGCCCAAAACACATCAAAAAGAGAAACGAATATCTCCAACTGCTAGTGGATATTATCCACCTTGTCAGTGAGGGGATTGTTATAAACCCTGCAAGACAAATATATTTATTTATTTATCATTTTTACTTTTTTAGTATTAGTTGTTGTAGAGGTATTTAAATATTTTTACATCAACAAGGTGATTATATTATTTCACAGTGTAGGTACACCGCCTACACAAAATAATTGATGCACGCAACAAATTGTGGATACATATGAACGTTGTATAATTGTTTACAAGTTAATTGGTGACAGAAAACACTATTAACTTTGAACTGTATGCCCATTTTCGTTCGTGACGTTTTGTCGGGAAAATTTGCAGTAGGCTTCTCCTAGGAAGTGTATCTGGGAATTTATGTGCAATTTTATTAAATACATGTATAATGTATAAATATAGGCACGTACCATTTTCACAGTGTAAAATGTGCAATGACTCTATAGTCCTTTCGATCATAAAAGGTTAATATAAAGCTAGTTTTCTAACTGATATTCCCTTCCCAAATTCTCCCCTTAAAATAATCACATCTCTGCTTAAAACCAGTACTGGGGCACTGTATTATGTTTACCTATTGGGCTCGTCATCATATGAAAGCTGGTAGCAAATACGTGGTATCGATGGTGCCATGGGAACCACTCGGCCAAAAGAAATTGCATTGGGGTCACACAACAACTGATTCCCAATCCAACAAGCACAGATCGTGAAATCGCCAGAAACGCCATATTTGGGGCAATAGCACTGAGTCCATGTCCTAGACAGCAAATAGCCAAACCAATCCGTATGGTCCACGGGCGCCCTAATACATCGGCTATTATCTTTGTTAGATGACTGGGAACGAATATAAATGCAAACAACAGGGACTGGTTTAATCCTGGAACAGTAAATCTAACGCAAAATTAAAGGAAAATAACTCTTCGTATGAGATCTATATTTCACATTAAAAACATTGTGAATAACTCATAGAAATATAATATATTCTGTTTTACCACAAAAACGGCAGTTATAGCTATTATTCTGATATCTGAGCTTGTCTTTAGACCACGTGATCTCCATTGATGGCTATACTCTGTTAAAATCTCCTAAGAGATTTAAGAAAAAAAAACTTTTTAGAAAAAAAGCAGGGACTAACTATAAATGTAAAAATGGATTCATTAACCAATGGTTAGTGTGGGAAAATTGTTGTTTACTCCAGGAAAATTCATTTTTTGGCCGAAACGAAGAGTTATTATCCCTTTAATAAAATAAGAGATTCATAAGTCTCCCTTTGGTATAAGGGTAATGAAAAGACATTCATACTGTACATGCAACTTGATCATACCATGTAAGCCTACGCTATGGTTTACATCAATAAAGTTCTTCATATTGGCATTTTAATTTTAAAGAACAAAAAATGAAAATTAAGGTTTTTAACGGTTTTGTTTTAGGTGTGTGAGTTTGTGAGAGGGAGAGAGAGAGAAATTGTCATGAACTTGCCTAACAGGTGTACATTATAGTTTACATCAATAAACTATTGCCATAAAAACACAAAGAGAGAAATTGAAGGTTTTTTATATTTTTGTTTTCGAGCAGTGTCTGTTTGCGCGTGCGTGTGTGTGTGTAAGAGAGAGAGAGAGAAAGAGAGAGAGACCGAGAGAGAGATGAACTTGCCTAACAGTAAAGCGGAACTATGCATTTCAGAACTGGACTGGTTAAATTCCGAAACTATCTCGGTCCAAGATGCTGTTGTTCCTGAGAAGAATATGGAGGTCGGTAAAACTGCACCAAGTATCAGATATCCAAAATAAATCATGGCACCCGAGCAATGAGACAGTTATATGATGCCTTTGCCTTCCTAAAAAAAAAGAAAGAAAATAAACATTGGCCTGTACCGGTATTCATAAAACGTTAACCTTACTCTGAAATTGTTTTTAAATGAGGGTTGTTCACCATGTTAACCTAGTTGTTGTTACATGTATCAGCTTTATATTGTACCAGCAAGCATATAGGGAGCCTACAGTAGACTATGTGGAGAAAGAACATGCATTAATTCAATTTACAAATCTAAAGAATGATACATTAGTTAAGGACACGCACTACATAGTTCGTAGGCCCTGCATGTAGTCTGTCCATATAAAATAATTGGAAATGTGCTTTTTGTGCTCTTTTTGCAGCGTTTAATATTCCAATTCGTGAAAATTCATGAAAATTAGTAGCCTATCTTCCATAGGGTCTATATTGTTTTATAAAGGTCTACTAGGCCTATATAGGCCTACATGTAGTCAGTGTTTATGTGCTGACATAGACTGGGGTGTATTTAGCACTGCAATTTATATTTTCAGCTGGTTTCAAAATATATGTCTTCAAGCACCCAAACCCAATATAGAGGTGCAATTGAGGTCACGGGCATGCTCTAAAATATTTAGTGCACAGATTGCAAATTATGTTTGATTATTTTAGGATCCCACATGAAGAAGTTCGTATCAAAGTTTTACTCTCCCTGAACAATGAATAATAAAAAAATAATTCATCGTCTAACTCAAAAGAGGAACACACGCTACTGTCAAAAATGCATTTGAAACGTTCAGCTGTGAAACATTTTACTCACTTTGAAAATTCATTCATCACAGGTTTTCTTCTGTGATTTATCTCCTGCAAATATAACGCTGTTAAAAATTATAGGCCTATTAATCTTCTGTATAGAGCAGTTAATTGTTTTTGAATCACTTTACATTGCTTGTCACTGAATATAAAAAAACGGGGAAAATACACCCTACCGACAGTAAAATAAGCATTAGGTAAATTATTTTCCTCTCGTGATCCAAATGTTATATCAGAAATGTCAAACTATCATGGAATCACAATATATTTTTCGGTCAGCAACAGAAAACACCGTTTTCTATTGCACCAAGTAGGCCTACTTGAACAAAATGAAACTTTCTGACAACTTTTCTGGGGAACATACGTTACCTTAGCTAGCTGCTAGTAGGGGGCCTATTAGCATGCAATGACTTACAGAGTTACACTTTAAATATTTACAAATAAACATCATCACGTATAATTTATAATGACTGAAACACTGCAAAATATAGTGGAACGCAGTATAAAAATTAAAATTAAATGACCCCGAACATAGGCCCTACGTTACCATACGCCACCGAAACATTTAGGGCTCTTTGCGTAATGTAAAGATAATATTATGGTAAAAAATTTAATTTTAATTTATATTGAGACAGTCGTGTGTGTGTGTGTGTGTGTGTGTGTGTGTGTGTGTGTTTCTATCCTACACATATATGATTAAAATATTGAATATACAACTTTGAATTCATTCAGTTTTATTCTTGGACACTTCAGCATGTGAAATGCACCTCTATATTGGGTTTGGGAGTACGTAGTGGTACAATAAGCAAACTAAATTAACGCATTAGCCTATAGAAAAAGACAATTTTGTAACCGCAATAATGCAATTTGTTGCAACCGCAACGCATTTTCTAACCAAAGAAAACAGTAATTATTTCGACCTTAAGCATTTTGCAATTTCAACACATTTTTCAAACAAACTTTTGCTGTGTAAGACCATCCAAATTTTTGTACAGCTTTTAAAAAAATTGTGAGTGATTGCGTAATTATGTTAAATCATTTAGCCGCTTAACATGAATTCGTACTTGCTCCCCAATGAAAAAGAGCACACTAATCATTAAGCACAAAAAATACTGAAAAGGAAAAGAAATCTGTCACTATGTCAAATTTACAAAATGACGGGGTAGAATCGTTTTAGTAAATGCTGAAATATTTATTTATTCTAAGCGGCGCACAACAAGGTCATATCAACTTCCGGTTGACACGGAAAAATAATTTGCGTGCAGTGTTGAAGGAATGAAGTAACTCAAATATGGACGTTAGTCTAGCAAAATGATGACGACTGCAGACGATGCACAGACGCTTCTTCCACAGGCACAGACGACAGACCAGGCTGTGGTTAGTCCAGATAGCGGATGTGGGGTGACTGTAGTGACAAGATCGCGCACCCCGAAAGACGGTCCAGTGGTGAGACTGACAGCAGCGTATTTAACGTCATTGAATGGCTTATTGAAGCTGGCACAGACGGTAATGATTATCTACGACTGGTGCATGTGTAAACTGTACTTGGGTTGCTATCCTGCACAAGACATTTACACTGAAGTACTGGTAAATGTGGAGGGATGTAGAAGGCTGCCTAAATTCATTGTTTCTTAAAGTATATAATATCATTAAAAAGATTATATTTGAAACATCTTCCTCCTCAAAAGTTTTTTTCTGCACAGATATATAAAAGCTGTGTCTAGTTTTTGATGATTTTCACGGTAACATTGATGTGAGCTAATTTTCTTTAAGATGGAATGTTCTTCTAGTTAGACTAACCTTGGTATTAATGTTGTTTGATTTTACAGATCAAACACCCCCCACCACCACCACCACCACAAATATACATAAACTGATATGACTAAGTTGAAATTAGATTAGAAAATATATAACAGAGCTCATTGGCATTCTCTTGGTTGTTTCAGATTGCCAGCCTGATAGCCCTGATCTGTCTAGTGAGCAGTGACATATACGGCAACTTTTTCTCTGAGCTTCCCCTGGCATGGCACATGTGTGTGTTTGTGTTCCTGTTTCTGTTCTCCTGTGTCACCAGTCTGGCGTGGATCCTAGCCAACGTCACCTCAGTCATACACAGGGTGGTAGGGTGGGACATACAGCTCATTGTAAGTGGTAAACTGTGTGAGAGTTAAAGGGATAATGACTGCTCATTTAGGCCAAAAATGGATTTTCCTGGGGTAAATGAATCTGTTCCAACTATCAAAGTTAGTCCTATTTTTTTTTTCTAAAAAAGTTTGGTTATTTGGTAATAACCTCTTGAGAGATGACCTCTTAGAGATAACAATAATTGCTTAAGAGATTATTACAGATGATAGCCATGTATGGAGGTAATATGTGGTCTTATGGCGAGTGCAGATTCCAAAATAATTGTGATACAGTGTAACTGTCCCTTTTGTGGTAAAATAGAATTTATTATATTTCTATGAATTGTTTGTAATGTATATAGTATATTGTGAAGCATGGATCTCATACAAAGAGTTTTTATCTCTTTAATGTCTTTGGATCAAATCCATTTCATGTAATCATTATAACCAACGTAAGAGTATCACAGGCAATACTGCAAAGTGTAAACTTAAGCTGATCTTTGGGAAAATTTTTGATCAGATTTTTGTTCAAATCATTGTGTAAAATATTCTTTTAAAAAATAAATAGCAATATATTTTCTTTTAGGAAATAACAATATACGGTGTATATACTTGTCTGTATCTTATTGGATCATCTTTGGTTGCAAATAATGTGGATATGTACAAAAAGATGGAGCCACCTATGCCAGTGAAGATGACAAGCCCTATGGTGGTATCAGTGGTAAGATTTTTTCAAAATAGACAATGATAGGCACATTGCTAATTTGCTTGTTTGAAATACAAGCATGATGGCATAGAATGCATTTTATAGATATTATAAAGGGGACTTTTGTATGCCATACATTTTGGACAAAATCTTTTCATCTGCTTTATGTGAGTGTAAATTTGACTTCTGTGCTGCCTTGTGTATAAGGTTGATAAGAAAATTGTAATATTTAGCACCTTAGGACCTTTTCACTTTATGTGTTACATGTTATCTGTAAACAAAATGCTTAGAGAATTGACAGTGTTATTAAATAGCATGTTTATTACCTGCTGAGATGTACCAAAATAGAGTCCCCACACTGGACACAGTCAGTTTAACAGATTATTTTTGATTGATCCAAACAATTGGAAGCAAACTTGTGAAAAGGAGCAAACTTCCCCCCCACCCCCCCCCCCCCCCCCCCCCCTCAAATTGTGTATTACGTGCAAAGACCTGTCAGTGTTTCAATACATGTACACGAAATAAGTTTGTTATAAATTTTAAATTTGCTTCAGGTTCTGGGATATTTCTGCATGTTTCTGTACGGAGGCACATGTGTACGGACTTACAACCAATGGAAAGGATGGAGACATGCAGACAGCAATCATGTTGGAAACGCTGCACAGAGAGATCCAACTGTAGATGGCACTGTCAGCGATGACATCTTTATTTAAATCCATGTCTCAGTTTTGAACACGATTTATTTCCAAATATGTTTTGCTTTTTTTTCATTCAGTGGAGGTTTTAAAAATATGAATCTTTGTATTTGTTATGGATATTGTTTTTCTCTTTTTATTATCATTATTTTTATTAATTTTTATGTGTAATCTGAGGATACGGACTGTTTGTTTGTTATATTGAAAAAAATCTATATGTATCTAGTCAAGAACGTTCAATATTATGCCAAAATCAGATGATGAAAGCGTGATAATTTGTGGTGATAGGAATGATGTATCCTTTTTTTTTTTTGCATGAAGAAATGTAACGTTGCACAAATAAGAATGAGGGGGTGTCTGAGATAGTGTGTACTTTAAAAACTATCACAGTTTGTATTTATTTTACCTTTTTCAGTATTGATGTGTTTTTATTTTCTGTCATCACATGATTCACATTGACTATATTTTTATTTTATATATATACATACACACTGTGTTGGAGAAACATACTGCTAGTATTATTTACCTAGCAGAAGGGTCATTACCTCAGCACTTCTGCTACCTTCATTATATCAAACTGCCTACATGCACCTTTCATTGCACATTCCTTAACAAAAAAAAAAACCTAACAGATATGCACTAAAAAAGTTTGTCATTTATAATGATATATCTTTCCAATTTTTTTTTCAAACTACATATGGGTCAAGTGTATCAATTGTCTTTTCCCCTTCAATCATATTGGTAATTTTAAAGTATTTTACATATTTCACATTTAACATATTTGTGTGTTTTATGTTAAGGTGTTAAGATTATCATTTTTTCCTCGTGTATTTTCTTTTAACATACTCAAAGACCTTTTAATGTGCTCTTCAGGATTTTCCAAGTATTTTTACCATCTTTTAACTGTTATTGCAACTTTACTTGAAATACTCATTATTTTAAATCTTACTGTAATTTACTTTAAAAGCCTTTTATTGTGAGTTGTACAATCTGTGTCAGAGGATAAATTGCTTCCATGTATAAAAAATACATATTATATTAAATTGCTTCCATTTTCTAGTCCACCATTAAAAAAATTAGAACCATACTTATTTAAACCATAAAAAAATTGTCACATATCTCTTGTTACCAAAGACTGTATTGCATTAAGTCATGTTTGTTATACACATGCAGTAAAAAGTAGTTCCCTCATTTAGGTAAGATTGCTTGAAGTAACTCTGACTTAGCTTTATCCTTAAGTGGAACTGTTATCATATTTAATTTAGTTTTCGGTACCCAGACCTTTATCTATCAGTTGAAGTCAGCTTTTAGTGATATCCAGCTTTATTATGAGCAAGGGTAAAGGACCATGTTTTGCTTGCTTGGTAGGTGGGCGAGGGGAGGGGGCAGATTATTATTATTATTATCATTATTAGGTGTTATGTAGAGCTTTTAATCTGATGGGCTCTCACATAGTAGAATACACCTACTTAGGTACTGCAGGTTTAAGCAATTCTCAGTTCTAGTTTAAAATGCAAAAAAGTAAAGAATAAGCATTTAATGTTTCACTAGTTATTATTTTTGTACTAGTAATCATCTGTTGTATGCTAAAGCACACTTCTCTAAGAGAATAAAAATGTCTTTAAATGTATGTTTTCTTTTCCTTTCTTGTGCTGTAGAAAATAACATTCTCAGACTTGTTTATGTACAAAATAGCATGTTTATACCTGCATTTTGTTTTAAATTTGCCACACTGCACTATTGGTACAACAATTTTGAGTTTTTCCTTCCTATGCAGTTCAACATATTTTAGTTTGTTGATGGAAGTATCATACCAGCAAACCAAACTAGTCAGAGTACAGGATCTCAGATGTGAAAGTCAACCACATGTAAAAAACAGTCCACATAGATCATAATGATCTAAAAGAGATTTACTCTTCATCCAGTCAAATTTGAACATTTGCAGTATAAAGCTTCCAGGTCTGCTTGCACTGACATCCTCAATGTGTTTTTGTTTTCTCATAAATGCACATCACCAACACGTTACTAGATGAATAGCTGTAGTGTCCTGCTGCATAACCTTGTTTCCTCCTATTCTGTTGTCCTCCACTGAAACTAGGAAGCCTTTATTTCCAACACTTATGTTTAGGTCTCTCTTCAGTCTCTCAGAAGTGGGCTGTTATCCTTTCAATTTCTGTTAGGTCATCAAATATCTGAAATGAAGTTTTAAATATTTTAATAAAACAACTGTGTTTTGAAGCAGTCTTGCTGCATATTAAATTGTACATAAGCCAGAACTCAAATCCAAATCTTGAAGAAAGAGGACTTGTTGTCACAGTCTCTATCTCGGACAGATAAGGAGATTATGAAGCCTGGGATTAAAAAAAGTTAAATGACAAAAATGTATAAGGGTTAATTCTGCATGTGTTAAATTTACAAAAAAAAGTCCTTGTTTATACTGTTACAGTATTTAGTCTAAGACAGAGGTTCAAAGGTGCCCTTTGTTTCCCCTCCTTACCATCACATTACCTAAATCTATAAATGCAGTTTGGATACATAGAGGCTCAAATTAAAAAAAAAAATTGGACAAATGAAATAAAATTGAAGGCCTAAACTCATTTAAAAAAAACTCATTTATGAAGTTATAACAAAAAGCAAATCAAGTCATGGCTGTAAGTCATGATATTTCTACCTGTTCTGGAGATGTTCCCAGTTTCCTGGCAATTTCTTGGCGCTCGTTGATCCCAAGGTTGATGTACATCCAGATCAACTCTCCGTCCAGAACATTCTTCTGGGAATTAGCCAGCATACGAGAGTTCACCTTCAAATTTCTAGAAAAATAATGAATCAAATATGACACTGTACCCAAAGAGACTGATGGAAAACATCCATGCTGAATAATATGATGCTGATCATTTTAATAATGTTTTTGATAATTATTTTAAATCTTCAAATCTTCTAATTATTATTATTTTTTTTTAATTTGCTGGTGCAAGAGCAATTTCCATAGTTTCAAATGATCAAACTTTCAGATCAGAATTTCTGATAAGTTATCAATTGGACATGCTAAGACTAAATCTTGTGACAAAAACTGCCTTTTTTAATTCATTTCAAATGTACAATGTATCAATATTCTTTAAAAACAAAGCATCAAGTGTTATTTCCTTACATGACTTGCATTTTCTTTCATTTCATGAAATATTCTTAAATGGTTAGACCAGACAAGTGTTTTCCAATAAAGAATGAATTAAAATGAAATTAAATCACTATATTAACATATCGAATGTCTTGAGTTTGTTATTACCATCAATATAAAATAATACAAAAATGATTCCGATACCTAAAAGCCTTTGGGTTGAGCCCAGCTAAGTGTGGTATGTGAACAGTGAGAGCGTTTTGTAACATGAGCAGACGACGGTACATCTTCTCTGTGATGGGTAACATGTAGCCCAGACCTCCGTCCAGGGTGGCTGGAATGATACCAACAGTTTGAAGAAATAATATGGATGGGAAAAAAATAATTTATATACATTTGTTATATGGTTTCCAAATCATTATGCCAGGAGATGTAGTAAAATAACTGTGAATGGTTGTATTCCTGAATCTCTGCTTTCTCATATAAAAAGAAAAAAAACTGCAGCTGCAGTGCTCAGTCCAAAAGAAAACAGACACCTTTTATGATCACTTATAGTTACTATCTCTGTCTTATAAATCATTATGCAAAGCATCCATAGCATCAATTTTGCAAAAAAAAAAAAAAAAATAATAATAATAATAATAATAATAAATAATAATAATAATAAAATAAGATAAATAAATAAACCAGAGCCAGTAATACTATCTATATCATCAAAACTAGCAAAAGTGGCCTCTTTGCAACCCCACCAATTGAAATGTGTGCACCATTTCTTTGGAAATTAGATCTTAAATGTAGATATTTCAGGCGCACACATAATAGTCTGGTGGGAAGGAGGGGTTCACGTGCAACCCCGTGAAAAACAGTGGATACCTATATTTTCTTAACCCTTGATGTCTAAATTTTTGATTTTTAGATGTTCCCAGAGTGAAAAAATGTCCCATGAGGTTTTAATTTAATGATATGTAACACCCTGTGGCTCAAATAACCGCATTTGAAATAATGGGGGTAGGGAAAGAAAATTATCTATAATTTGCAATTTAAATAAGATATAAGAATGGTTTATATATCATTATGTAGGTAAAGGGTTGCTCTAAAAATACAAGTAATAAAAGTTATGTAATACTGAACCATTTATTAATGTTAAATGTCATTTGTCAACACTATTCAGTGTTTATTATTAATCCGCTTCATTTCTTTTAGTATTGGGACTTTCAATAAATGCGGCCATCATCAGCCAAATTTTGAACATCATACTTGAGTTTGTTACATTACTTTATCTGCATGTCGTTATATTCAAATTAGCTTAGATCAAGGAGACATAAAAAGCCTTTGAAAAATATACAAGGCATTGAAAATAAGATTGTCTATAAGAAATATACAGTACACAACATCTTCAATTTGAAAGAAGCATCACAACCTACCAAAATATGTAACCTGTTTCTTTTCTATTGCAGGTGGCGCCCTCTTGTCAGTGGACGGGTCAGTGACTTTACAGCGTATCCTGAACATTGTATTGACATGATGCCCTATGTTTATGTCAGCCTTCCTGAGCAGACGCTGTCCTCCATGACTTTCACGCGCTGCATTTTTCAGAAAGAAAGTCAATGAGCAATGATTAAAACAGCTCTCAGCATTGTAAATTGCTTAGCGCTTGGCCCTTTTCGAAATTACAGGGACTTTCAAATATATCAGGACCTAAATATCTCAAGCAATTCAGAAAAAAAATCTGACAATTATTGAATTATGAAATTCCTAGTGAAAAAAAAATTAAGAACCGTTTATAGAATAATACATAACCTTGCCATAATGATTAAAATTCCAAATAACTTTATACTGGCAATGGGTCTAATAACCTTCTATTAAAACTCTATATTATGCTTTATAATACTCCAAACTCACCTTCTGGCTGATACATTTCCAGGATCATGTTCTTGTCACGGTCAGATACTGAAATATTCAACAGTACAAACTGTTACAGCAATAACAATAACAGTAATAACCTTGTGCTGTGAACAACTTGTCTACAGTTCTATCTGCTATCCTGTAAAACCAATTATATAATCATACAAAGTAAAAGAAGACTAGTTGTTCATGTTTTTGGTTTGTTTAAAGTGGCAAACACTGATGCTATCATATTTGAATATTCTTACCTAAAAATCCTAACTGTGTGTTGTCCACAAGGAATTCTGCACTGTAAACCTCCAGTGGTTTGATATCCTGGGAAATGGTAGAATTATAATGTGTTACACCCAAAATTAACTTTCATTCCATTTGTTTACTATTTAAACAGGATTTTTCTCTGCTCAAATTTGAGAGAGTAATGATATATATAATTACATTATATTAGAAGATATTTATGTTCACCATCAATCCAAGTTTCCTGTAAACTAACTGTTCTGTCTTGGATACATTATTAGAGTATTTTGTAGATAGGCAAAGTAATGTGCATGTGTAAACTTCCTTTGTCACAGTTATCATATGTAATCAACAGCATGCGTATATCACTCTTTACATTTTTTATTAATCAACAGAATTGAGTATATATGCATTATATGTGCTTTATGTGTATGCATATATGTGTGTATCTAACGTAAGATGTATATGTAATAGATACAATGCAGTCAACCAAATATAAAATAAATGATGCACATGAGTGAAGCGAGACTGGATGTCATGAGAATTATTTCTGACGTATTCCACAAGACCACCATCATGACATAGGTGCATGTATGCCAGATACACAACATCTGAATCTCTTGTTCTTCACATTTGCCTTAGTTTACACATATACAACACACGTATATGTATATGTATATGTATATGTATGTGTACTTACCCTGCTGACCAAGGAGAGCACCTTCATGTCAGTCTGATACCTGAGCACAGTAATGCTCTTCATGATGTCTGAGATGAGGATCAAGCCCTTGATGTTGGTCATCTGATGGATGTAGATCTGGGTGTCTATGAAGGCCACACCACTGAGGTCATTGTCCTTGAGGGTCCAGATAAACACCTGGAGGTCACAGATAAGTTACTGGTCAGTACTTGAGGATAAAAGAGTTGAGTTGAGAGCACTCCAAAAATGAATTTTAAAAAATTCCAAATTCTCAGGGTAAAATGTATTATTCCACTTTAAATTTACTCTTCAGCTTCCCATGCAAGAAATAAATATAGTTTCTAATAAAAAATTCATTAAATATTCTATTTTCTTGATTAAAAAATGGTGTGAAATCTAGCTCTTCTTTGGTACATCAACTACCAGTGTTATGTTTGCTCAAAATTGTGACCTGTATCAATTCTAAAACATCTTTAGTTGGAAAAATTCCAGTAGCAAACTGGCACTTCCATATACCTAAGAGGCTATCTCTACACCCCTGAATATAAAATGTTGGGGGTCACCCTGTAGAAGGACCACTGAAACACCCACCTTCTGACCAATGGCAGTGACCAGCAGCCCCTCTGCACTACACATGGCAGTGACCGGACCTTTCTGTTCCTTGTCATAGATGGTCTTCAGTTTGTTCTTGGTCAGTGGTTGACCCGGCTCAGGGACAACTTCTATGATGTCAAACATCAACATCTGAAGGTGAAATAAGATGTTCTTATTAAAAACCTAGTATGTTGTGTAAATTTATCAGTGAAATCAAAATCAAAATCTGAAGAAAAAACACAATTAACCAGCTGGACATTAAATGAAAAAAAGGAAGCAATTTAAAGATATAAAATATTTTATTTCTTACTGGCAGTATTTTATTTAGTAACACACACAAGTAAAGAAATAAATAGTACTTACCCTTCCTCTGGAGGTGACCTCCTCACCATAGCAGTAGTTGGTTCCTATAGCCATATATCCCTTCAGTCCACTCACTGTCTCCTCAGACTTTAAATTCACCGTCTTCAAACAGGTGACATGTTCAAAATCTTCTAACTCAATCCTTTTAAGTGAAAAGAACAGATAAAATAATATTATGTGAAGAAAATCCAGCTAGCAGTGCAAAGAAGGATTAATGAAATATATATTATTATCATTACTAAAAAGAGTGAATTAATATCACCTTCAAATAATTAAAAGGGTTAGAACTGTTACAGTTTATGGTTACATTGAAGTGGCAACAGTGGTCATTACTTTTTTGATGAATTCTACAGGAAAAACCCAACACATATTTATTTTCAGTTGAAAAATTGAAAACGAAGATTAAAATACTTACTCAACATGTGTATTTAAATTTATCGCATCATTGTTATTAATGCCTCATTGCTGTAATAAATTTGATCCTTGTCTTTGTATTGAATAGAATTGAATATGCATTACAACATCCATACTTCTGAATTAAAAATAATAAATATAAATGACAACTTGACATTTTTAGTTACTGAAATCATTAAAAATGTGACTTCCACTATATCTTCCTTACTTGGTGTTGGGTATGGCCTCCCAGCTGACAGGAGAGAACAGTTGCAAGCTGAACTTGTCCACCATGGGCAGAATGAAACGCTCATCTGAGTTTAAAAAAGAAAGTAGTTAAAGATTAGAAATTAAGGGTGGAGAGAGCCCATTAAGTAAAGCATGTGCCATGACTGTCATCATATGATTCTCTTATCATCCATATTAGATCATGTTAAATCTAGCTTGTTCTTGTTTTCTTAATCTTTTTTTTTCCTTGGGTTCTGTTCAAAATATTTACCGCACTGGTTGTAGTGCAAATAGTATAACATGGTAGTTTAAGTAAGTAAACCAAATAATAGACATTTTTTCAAAATAATGGATTTTGATGTTTTCGAAACAACATAGGCACACTTATAATGATATATACCCGTTTTTCAAACTCATTCTCCACATCTTTAATATAAAGAGCTGACTACTCATACATTTACCTAGCGTGTACTTTGACCTCTTCCTCATATCTTATACTAAAAACTGATAAATAATTCAAACATCTACCTCTAGTCTGTGTTTCAACCTCCTCATTTCTAATGTTGAGAGCTGATATTTAAATCAAACATCTACCTCTACTCTGTACTTCGATCTTCTCTTCATTTCTAATGCTAAGAGCTGACGAATAAGTCAAATCTTTACCTCTGGTTTGTGTTTCAACCTTCTCATATCTAATGCTAAAAGCTAATAATTTAAATAAATCCAACATTTACCTCTGGTCTGTGTTTCAAACTCCTTCTCCTCATCTTTAATCTTGAGGATGGTGCTGCAGGGTTCCGGGGCACTGGTCACCACTGTGTAGGTCTTGCTCTCCACATGGTACTGGATGAAGTGGGGAGTGACCCTCAGGGGGACCTTCCTCACTGGCCACGGGGCATCGTAGGACAGATGGGTGGGCAGGACTGATATCCTTAACTCATCCTGAAATTACATGTGAATAAAGAAGTAAATCTTGAAACAATTTGGAGAAAAGTTATAAAGTTGCTGTCAGAAATCTACAGTAATACATGTAGCAGTCCTGATGTGACAATTGGGGGTGAGTAGGTTACCTAATGGATGATAAAAACAGTCTATGGACAGAAATGGAAGTATGAAAAACTACTAAAAACATTATTTTCCTTTTTGCAACGTCCCATCATCTTACCAGTGAAATTGTTTATTTAATATTTAACAATGAACTTCCAACTTTCTTTCATCACAAATATGTACTAGATCTATCAATTTCAAGAAATACTGTATCAAAAGCAGATGTAAATCATATTCAAGTATTCATTTCTAACTTTTTAACCAGATTACTTACATTTCTGTTAAAATACAGAAAACCCTTTGGACAGTTTATATTATGGAATGGTGCAAAACATGTGACAGAACCATCAATGCTCATTGGATGCATTCTCAGAGCTCCACGAGGGGTCACAAACAGCCAATGAGGAGAAGGGCCACATATAAATACCTGGAGACAAGAAAAATAACATTATGATAGTAATTTACAACTATTATTTCTTATTTTCACTTTGAAAAATATTTCTTCACCAACCATCTGCAAAGTGGTATTTTAAGAAACCATGAAAATCAACTATATAAATGTTGAGATAAATTTCCATATAATGAAAAATATGTTTAAACTAACTAAGCATATTAAACAAGGAAAAGGCACAGAAAACAGTCAATGGAAAAAGAGAGACTTTCTGATTTTTACCTTGCAAAATATACCAGAAGTATTTAACAGGAAGATCAATCAGGCTTGCCGAGAATAAAGTGATGACCATTAAAAATGCATCACCCATAAAAAAGCCTAAACCTACCCCAGAGTATCCAGAAATATCTGTGAAAATCCGTAGTCTGGCCACGCGGTCACTTATAACATCCTCATCCACCACTGCCTGACCCTTTTTCTTCTTCAGTTTCCGTGGCCGCAGCACGAGTCCGTGCTGGATCTTACGAAATCGCACCTTGAGGTGTCCCTCTGGCGACACCTGGTGGTAGGGAAAAACCTCATAGATCATGAGATCCTCTTCTATTCGAGCCTAGAAGGAAAAAATAAAAGAATTACAAAGTACAGAAAAAATGCTAACAAGACAATTACATTAAGTCTTTTCAAAACCAGTGGATGATTTGATGAGAATTAGTTTTCTGAGAGGCAGCTTTAAAATGAACCATGCCGAAATATGGTATTGGCTCGTTCATTTCAATGAAGGAAAAATTATCAATTGCCAGATACTCAACTTCGGAATCATTAAAAATATGTTTCTATGTAGCATTTTGGTGTATTTACTGCATAGAATAGAACAATTAGGTACTCTGCTTTTCAATCTTGTTGCTACCACTCAATACAAATTTTCTTATTTTGAAATTTTATCAATCAAAAATAAAGTACCTATAAAATTCACAATTTTCTCAGTTGAAACACTGAATTATACATTTGATATAAAACAAAGCTTACAAAAGGTAATAACTGTTCACAATTTATAATCACTTGCCATTAAATATGGTCTAGAACACTTGTTCCCTAGACCAACAACCAGTAACTCCTTTACAGATGGCAGTTCACCCCCTTTGTCAAACTTCTCTTGTTTTTCACTAAAACATAAAAGGACAGATATTCTGAGATTTTCTTTAATTGTAAACTATCCAACTTACTTGATATTTATCAGGGCAAAGTAGCATTTGATTAAATAGTACATCATAACCAGACATATCAAGTATTAAATAACATATAACAATGAATTCATCTCACATTTATCTTAAACAAATTTTTTACTATAAGCATTTTCTCTTACTTTCAGTAGCTTTTCAGTCATGCTTAAAAATAAGCTCTGTAAATGATCTATAAATAAATAAATAAATAAATAAATAAATAAATAAATAAATAAATAAATAAATAATACTATTAGGTGAGAGAATAACTTGACTGACCTGACCATGGACTCTGCCATCACTGCACTGTCCACCAGTACCTTGTGCCCCATGGGAAAAGATTTGATTACAAACACTTGCTTAAAGTCAGGGAGACTGTAAAACTGGAATCAAAAATTAAGAACATAACCACATGATAAAATGCCTTACATTAAATTTGTAAGATCAACTGATGCTAACTTAAAATCTAGAATGAAAAGATGAAATAGCATTCAAATAATTATTAGATATTGTTTGATGCTGTAGATAGAAATTAATTTGAAAAATAAAACCATGAAAAATGGCTAATTATGATAGCAGGGACAATGACATTCTGGCTGCTGCCTTTGCCAAAACCCTTGCATGGCACTCTGATTGATCAATAATTTAACCATAAAATATATTTTAAAAAGTTTGCAACAGTTGACTGTGCCATAACAGGCTAATATCAATAAACGCTGATCACCGTTAAGGAATCAAAACATTTAGAAATAGTGCCCAGCACACATTCTCACCTCCAGATTCCCATTCTCCCTGTACAGAAGAGCCCAATAGCTGGGTTTTATTTCTTTTTTCTTTGCCTCTTCCACGCCACTTGTACTGAAATTATTGCACAACTTACTAAATTGACTTTATAATCTATGTAAGGAAAATAATTGTTAGTATTAAGAAACTGTTACATGTATGTGTTCTTCAATTATCCAATTAATATTTCTACCAGAACACTGTTGAGTACATAATTGTACATGTTGGCACACACAAATACACACGACAGGTCTAAGTTGCCTTACAACATATAAACATTGTAAAGAAGTTCAAATGCCTGTTCAAAAAAAAATTGAATTATTCAGTTTTGTATATGTAAAACTGTTACCCAACTGTTACACATCCCAACATCATTAAATCTATAAAACTGTACTAGTATACACCATGAACTTGGATTAATCAGGAGTCCTTACCTTGACTTAATTTCCACTTTGGCAGTAGGACTAAACAAAGCTGCATCAGTATCTCCATACAGAAGCTCATCTTCATCATCGATTGTGCTGTAATGGATTTGTAAAAAAAAAAAAAAAAAAAAAAAACTTAATGATAAAATACAGACATAGCAGAGCCATATTTGCTACAATTGCAGATACAAAAAGAGGAAAAAGTTAACTTCTCTTCTTTTTTGACTCAAATCAGTGACCAAGCATACTTAACTTAATCTTTAATTCAAAATGAAATTGAACAAAGTGGTTACATTAATTTTGCAGCTATTAAACCAGTTTGAACAATGCTGTCAAAGTTTTATAAAAACTTTGAGCATTTTGTCATGAATTGTAAATGAGATATTTTCATTGAAATCCACCTCACCTTTTGTCAAAACTAAAAGAGCTTTCTGCCTTTGGTGTCTTAAGTTCTGACGACACAGGGGCACTTTCTTCTTCCTCTTCCTGAGCAGATGTCACAAACATTCCACTTATATCTCTATATGTACACACCTTTAACACCTTGGACTTCTACAAGAACAACAGACAAATTATGGTATTTTATTTTGATTTATAACAAATCACATTTTACTAGTACCTGTAAAAACAAATTAAAAGACAAAATGTCTTGGTTTTTTCTATGAAGCATCAAGTCTCCATTCTAAATCAAAGGACCTAAATCACACAACTGGCTCATCAATGTGGACACATAGGTTAAAAAAAGTTAACTCCCTTCAGAAACAATCTACTTAACTTTTTTACCATCATATAATACAACGGAGAAAGAAAAACTTATTTCACCTACACTACACAACTGACTTATTTCACATATATTCCGTACCTGCTGTAGATTTGGTCTGATCACAGCCAGCCTGACCCCACTGCCAAAGCTGTCCTGTCTCAGGTTTAATAACATAACATGGCCCTCTTCGCTGATGATGACAGCAAAGGGGTCAGCCACAGAACACTGGACCAGAGGCGAGCCAACATCGATTGGAATATGCTGTAGCTGTTTAACTACATGTTAACAAATAAAAGCATAATATCTTAAAAATAGTAAAAACAAATAAATACAAAATCAAGGATACCTTTTCATGGTTTGACATTATACTGATTTCATTTATAATACACCAAATATACACCATACCTAAAATTATCTGATAAAAATGGAAACCATTTATAAGGAGACTAAAAATGTTTATTTTTTAAACCAATGAGACCAAAATATTGCAAACAAAATATTATTCTGTTTGAATTATATTGAGATATTAAGATTGTAAACAATTATCCTACCCCCTTCAAGCAGCCTGACCCCCTTAGGTGAGACCTGTAGAATGTACTTGTTTTCTCCCATATTCCCTGCATAGACAGTGGGGGCCTGTGTACTGAAGCCACTGTGGTCTAACTCCATTATTTCCTGGCCTGTCTGCAGGATCTAGACAATTAAATTTTTGAATATTCACAATAAAGACATGGACAGCATTTTTTAAAATACAATTTTAGAAAACATTTGATTGTCTTGGATTATGCTTATCACATATTCACTTCTAAAACACCTGTCCAATACACTTTTGAACCTAACTAACTAGACTAGTACTGTGACTAATTAGGCTGTTGCTACAACCCATATTACAAACAACATCACAGTATTGCCATGTGATCTCAAATCCAACTAACTCTGTGACAATATCTATTACATGACATACCATTGTGGAGTCATCTCTGCTAAGTATAAGGAATGCATGGCTGTGTTCTTGGTCCTCAAGGTGAACTTCCTCTTCTTTCTTGTCTTCCTCAGCTGTTTCTGTTGTTTCCGTAGTTTCTGTTGCCTCTGCTTCCTTGACCTGAAAATCAATAAATTTAGACATATTTACTCATTGCTTGACCCGATGTCAATAAAACCTATAACCAAGTAACGAAAAATGGAAAAATTTCAAATGATCACTGTTGGAAACAACAAATCAAGAAAAGATGTCAGAAAAGCAGAGACATTTCACTGACATGGACTTTGTAATATCTACCTCTGTGTCTTCAGTCTTCTCCCCACTGCTGCCCCCTGGTGGGCCAATGACTGTCCACATGTCATAGCAACCAGGGAGTTCAAAGGTCGTCACTACCTGGGGACGTATGCTCCTCTACATGGAAAAAGATAGGAAAACAGTTTTAGATAAAACAGTGAGCACAATTATTCTTTATAAAAACTCCTAAATTTTATATTCAATCAATTTAGTTCAAGTTAGTATATTATTACATAAATTTTAATGATATGGCACATTACTCACCTGAAGTACAGACAATGCCCCATTCTTGCCGTAACCAGATGTTGTGACAAGTTCCACATCAGGATCAGGAGAATTGCTGAACTCTTCTGACAGAAAGGCTGGCTCACCCATTACAATCTGACCACATGGACCTATGTTCATGATACTGTCACATACCTGTGAGGGGGACAAAAAAAGTTTGTATCCCTGCATCAAATGTGACTTTATCCTTGCATCTTGGATCTGATCATATAAACATAACCCCATATTTCAGAGGTCCCTAAACACTAGAGGTAGCTATAAACAAGAAACTCTTTTCTGAACAGCAAATGGCCAAGGTATGCTGATAAATTAAATATACAGAAAATTTTCAAGTGACCTTTTTGACCAGTGGTGCATTCAGTCTACACAAATCACCATAGCTACCTCAAAAGTATAAGAAGTAATCTGTGTCCCAGCCTGCGTCTCACTGCTGCCATACACCTCAAGGTCATCAAGGTCATCAATGGCGGAGACATCAGTCGCCATCCAGTCCCCCATGGTATCAAGACGTTTCTTTTTCGCAGGCTGAACTAAATCATCCTAAAATGATGATGGTAATGGCAGGTAATAATAATATTAATATTCTGCATATTTTCACATTTCAATATGAGAGTTTTCCAATGGTGATTAAAATAATTGTCATTTCTTACCTGTTTCTCACGGTCTGGTGGTTTAGGTTCAGGTATACCAAAATCTGGTGCCTTCTCCGTATATTTTAGTAACAGAGAATTTCCCAATCTTGAACCAAGAAAAAGGTAGCCCTCTTCACATTGGCACATCTGGAATTCAAAATTACTAATTATTAAGTAATTGCTTTAATAAATGCTTTTGGCATATTTCCTAAACAAAACAGTTGACAAAATTGTATTTAACAAGGCAGCAAAGCTGTCAAATGTACAGACAAAAAGCAGGAAATAACAAAATAGGCTACTGTCAATTCTGATGTAAAAGTACATTATGTTAAACTGCAAATTCAACATCAAATTTTAATTATGCTCAACAGGTAATACCAATGTAAGTAAAATGTGTAACAAGCATAATAGGGCTTCAGGCCCATGGGAGTTCAAGTTCACACTTTGAAAATGTAAAACTTCCAGAAAAAGAAGTCAATTAGACTGCTTTTCCAACTCGAGCTGCATTTTAGTCCTGTGTTTCTTTTTTAAAAGTTTGACAATCATAAGTAATATGTTTTTCCCATGATGGTCATCATGGCAGCAATACCCAAAATTGTGTTTTCTTCTATTTTGATGCAATATTTCATAATGCTTAACAGCATAAAGACCATCAGTTTTTAATAATAAAATATACGTATCNTATGTACAGACACATCTGTGTCTGTACATAAAAAGCATTCAGACTTTTAACCATACAAAACTGTTCTAGTTCTCATTTCACTTTCCAAACCACTTACATTTCTCCCCCTTTGAGGGACAGGACCAGTCGCTCAGAGTCAATGAATGTTGTCTGCATACAGTCCAACATGATCTTCATGCCTTCTTGTGGTTCTGGGGGCAGAAATATCGTATGAATTGATTTGTCAAATAGAAATATGAATGCAGTGAAACTTGTAAAACAAACAAAACAGATATTAAGATTAGATTGCAGTAACCTTACTTTTTTATTTTCTATCAATTACTGAAGAATACTAGCATGTTCATTTTCTACCTGATTAAATTTCAGGCAAATAATATAAAATCAGGCTGAAATATTTAAACTGTTTTTTTTTTTTTTCAAAATTTTTTCAGCCTTACTAAATATCTTGAACAAGTGTGAAAACTAGCAGTTAGAGATACAATCAATAACTCAAAGATTAATCAAACAACCGATGGTATTAATAGTACAAAATTGGAACAGGAGCCTTGGTATGAATGTGAATCAAGCGCAATTGTTAGCACTGAAGACATGGATGCAGCCAAATCTGTTGAATCTCAATGCTACAACTAGGTTAGGGGATGAACATGCCACTAGGATATAATATGCCTTTCAAAAATGGCACAGCTTTTATAATTCCCTCAAGAAAACTTACTGAGTGGAAATCCTGTACATATATCTGTGGTAATGTTCAGGGAGACTCCATATGGAGGGACACTTTGGTTCAAATACAACAAGGAGTTCACAGCAAATACTAAAACTCCACCTGGAATGAGGAAATAATGCTTAATCTAATTAACTTGGCCATACGACAAAACATGATGGGACTTATATTTTCAAAGATGGAAATACAGACATTTAGCTTAAAACTAAGACCACTGATAAATTATGAGATAAAAAAAGTTCTTCCTTCAAACTTCATTGTAGTTATTCATTTAAAGTGGTTTTATTTCTAATCTGAAATTTGATCTTTTAAGATTTGCATCTAAAATAAAATACACACACATTATTAAATGCATGTGTCTGCACATGCGTGCATGCACACACATGCACGCACGCACACTATACCCATCATAAAGCACTGACCTATGGGTTTGGGTACAGCCTGCACTTGGAAACAGTCATATGGGAGATTGCTAAGGGACCAAATGATAGGATGGACCTTCTGCTGCATGTTCAGTGAAATGGCTACAATACAGCAGGTGTCCTGGCGCACAGCTATGCGACTGGGGATAAAAGCAAGAATAATTTTTCTCATAAAATAACATCATAATTCTGGGTTTGGTAATCAAATCAAACTACAGTTCATCCTAATAATCTTGACAGAAATATAAATAAACAGCTTTTTTTTCTTAAATGAAGACAAAAGTACACATCTTTATGTATTCAAAACACAACTAATTAAATAAATTGCTTCAAAAAATTAATTTATCCAGAAAGGTCTACAAATATCAGTTGTAAACTCTGGATACAAAATGTTAAAGTTTTTTATTTCAGGTAAGTTTGTATGATATCCAATGAATGAAATGTGAGAGTAATTCTGCTTTTAGTAAGAATAGTAAGAAAAAAATTAGTACTCCAAATTTTCACCAAAAGCATGTGGCAATACATTATTATTTTTAATAATAATGTAAGTTGCAACATCCACAGAATTTCAACATAAAGTGAATTAATATTATTATCAAACTGAATCATATAAAGATCATCACAGCAAAATCAAGGAATTCCAAAATCAACACAGAAAATTATTCAGAATTACTACACATTATTTTCTGAACATGCAGTCACTATAAACCAGTCTAACCACTCACCCTGTCCAAGTCCTGAGAGGTTCATACAGGATAAACATGGTGGGCTCATAGTAGCCATGTAGGAACTGGATGTCTATGATATTACAGATCTTCTCATCCAGCTTGGAGGCATCAATGATGTAGGAGGAGAGCTTAGCTGAACTGAAATAATAATAAATCTTTGCTTAAAAATTAAAATGTCATCCAGTAAAAGTGGTATAAACAAAACAACTTGGAAACCCTGAGAAAGCCAACACGTGCCTCGAGTCAATACGAATAAATTGAAACATCCTCCGAACACTGAAAAATGGGTATATACTTAACTCCATACTTGTGCATAACAATACATTACGTATGCATCTGGCCACTAAGGCTCTATTCCCATAGATTTTAGATCGATCTATCCCCGCGGGGAGTCTCACTAGATTACTTTCAGATAATCCGACTTAAATGTCCGTCCCGCCTACTACAAGCTGTAAGGGGATAATTAACTTTCGTGTCCGCCCGGCTGACAGCTATTTAGCGTGAACCCCCAGGGAGTTAGGTCGATCTAAAGTAGGTCGATCTAATCTATGGAAATGGGGTGTAAGTGCTTTGCTAAATGTTTTCTCAATGACAACAAGTTGTCCACAGTTCATCACAAAACATTTTAAACCAAAGCCAGGTTTTCAAAATATATTAACAGAGTGGCATGAGTTTAAAATATCACACTCCTTTTAATCAAAAATGACCAATGTCCCCTTCGACTAACCTTCCCCCTAACCCATCAGCATCCTCTGCAGCACTCTCTCTGCGAAAGGGCAAAATGACAATGTGTGTTCCATAGATCACCATAGAAGCACAGCGTCCATCAGGATCAACACGGATCATAGGGATATAATGCTGTTGCTGCTGGAAACCATGCTGAAAGATCAAAGGTCACGTTTTAGTAAACATGGCAATTCAGCTGCCAATCTTTTCAAAGCATGTAATAAAATCTATTTACGCATAAATGATAGGTAACAGTGTTGTCACTTTATATGATAATTGTGTTGTGTGCTTATTTTCTCCCGAGTACACTTACCCTTCTTTTTTTTAACATCCTCACAAAATATGAACTTCAGATATCTGTGCAACACTGTTCACATGACCACAAAACATATCTAAATATTACCTTTAATTCCTCCTCTTCAAAATAATGGAGTGATGATGTCTTTAGGCTGTGTGTCGATGCATCGTAGTCCACCACAGACAGCTATGATAGAGACATCAATAGTGTACTATGAAAAGTATCTACCAACTTGCTAACCCAAGTCAGGTGAGTTTTAGGCCAAGTGAATAAAATTTGAATTTCTTTAAACGACATGGCTAATAAAATTTCGTTTAAATACTTTTATTAGTAAATCATTTGCAAATATCATATTTGAATATTATTTTAAAAACATTGTATGGTACTGCCATAATATATCATTAAATGAAATAACATTTTTACAAAACATTTACCAAACAATAAATTACATTATTTTAAATGTTACACTTCTGTATTGCAGCACATACAGTAGAACATATTCCTCACCTTGGCATCCTGAAAACTAAGCAGCAGGGAGTCCCTGACTGCCCCAGGGAGTCTGACTGTGGCCAGGGACATGACATTCCCGAACAGAGAAAAAGAGCCAAGAGTTTCCAACTTCATTCGTTTCTGTTTATTGTCTGAAAACAAAATCTCTGTGAGTCGTCATGCTGTTATTTTTGCAGTCTCCTATTACAACTTCATACCAATTTTGAGCCCTTTTCAAGTTGACATTGGATTTAAGTAAAATGGTGTTGAACTTGAAAGAAAGTGAGTAGTCTCATAACAGGGTGATCACCAGAGCAAAAAAGCTTTAGGAAAACAATGAAATCTAAAGGCCCCTGGATTTTTGTGATACATATACATGTCCTTGTATTAGTATTTGTCTTTATTATCTGTCATCATAATCTATTCACCAAATTTAAGTACAATCTTCAAAGTTAATACCAAAAGCTCCACATGAATTTGCGTACCTGACACCTTTTCTGATCCTTTTCCAGTTCCCTGGAGAGAAAAAGTGGGATATTAGACTTGAAACCAATATGAATGTATAAAAAGTTACAATTTTCAGAATATCTTTATTTCTAGATATCAGGCCCAAAATAATTATTTTATTGAACTATTTAAAAAAAAAGCAAGCCACTGACACTATGCACTTTTCTATTTTCATGTGCAGTGCAGTGGCAGTGCTGTTCCCAAGAACCAAAAGTAAATTACATGGTGATAATTACAAGAAAGGAATGCAACGCAATCCTATAAATATTCCCAAGAATGTATTAAAATGCAATTGTCAACACAGTTAATCTTAATGCACTGGTCAATATAGGATTTTCCAATGATGGAATAGCATATCTGGTATTTGATTTTAAAAGACAATTATCTTGCCTCAATATCTGCATTCAGCCTGTACACATGTAGCTGTGTGGAGCCAGCTATGATCAGGTTCTTCTCTTTGGTGGAGAAGAAGTTGCAGTAGACGCAGTGCTCTATCCCAGTGGGAGGCTGCGTCTGTTTGTATATGGAGTACATGGTGCTGCCGGTTCACCCCTGGACTCTAGCTGGGGACTTCAGGTCTGATGAATTGAAAAAGAGAACATGTGAATTACAAATCAAAATGAAACAAGAAATTAGAAGGACGCAGGAACGTCATGTGGGACCAAACTACTTCAAATCAGTAATTCATAAATTGCATGGTTATCAAATTGATCCAATTAAATCTGATCCAATTTTTCACATTCAGATATAATAACCTGAATGTTGAAAACAATAACATACTTCACTAGCAAAACGTTTCATTCTTGGGAGACGAACAGGCGCCAATTATTAACTCCAGTTTAGGTACCCACAACGAAGAATCGTGTCAGCTTTGAATACTTATACTTTAAAAGCCTTTAGTTGCATTTAAAAAAATGATTTATATATAAAAAGCAGTTTTCTTTATTATTTAATACAAAGGAACACTCACAAATTTATCCCACACCGGCTACTACCATGCTGTAAACGCAAAGTTACTTATTCATAATAAGAAAGGTTTCGAATTCAAATTTAAAAGCAAATAAAAGATTTTACTTTAGCATATGGTCAAATTATAACAAAATATTACATAAAAAGTAAAATATAAAATTAAAACTTATCACAGTAGCCTAAAAACTTTGCATAAAATTTACGAAATTAATTGTAATGGAAGGTATAACTTCGTAAATAGTACGTTTGGCTGCAGGCAGGTGCTTGACTGGGAAAAGTTAGAAAAAGTCCGCTGAACATGTTAAAGTTTTGAAGAGACGTTTTCAGGCAAGTATGCATAAATCATAGTAGATGTAATACTTTTAATTTGAAAGAAGACCTAGTTACCCTTTTATAACTGCCGCTCTGGTGTTGAGAGATTGGGAAATTCTCGCTCTGTGAACAGGTCAGTGTTTTTATCTGGACATCTGCCGTGTCCAGACACGCTGGACGTAAACAAAGGGAAATAACTTAAACACAAAGTTCTACATCGCATGGTCGCAGATGTCAGTTAAATTGTTCCAATAGCCCATCTTTATTGAAGTGTTGCCTTTTGTTAATCGTTGTACTTTTTTCCTAATTTTTACAATTTTTTAACTGCATAGTTACTACTACTAGCAATGAAATTTTAGGTATTGAAAAGTTTGCAGGGACACCACCTACAAAATTTAATCAAGGGCAGTAATTTGTTTAGTCATAAATTTATCTAAGTGCAAATAAATTGACTTTCCATTCCTGATAGATATTTGAAAAACATATGTAACTAAAATATTGATGTATTGTATTAAAGGTCACACCCCTTTATGTCCCTTGCTCCTTGCATCATAACTCTCTGCACTGTTACTTCCCGGGCCTTACTTCCCTGCATTTTACCCCCCACTGGTAAAAATATGACATATTAAGACACATTTTAAACTAAAACCTTACTGTAAACACCAGGACCCACAAGTCACAAATTTTTCAAATTGTCATTAAGCTAGAAAATCTTATATAGGCATTGAAATTCAAGCATTTTCCAGGCTCACTTTTAAAGGAACCAATTATTCCATTTAGTTCATTTGGCAGAAATTTAGTGCTCACTTTATAACATAACAAGAATTGCTCTTTGAAATTGAAGGCAGAGTCATTAGAACCCCAATGAGGATGCTCTTCCTGATATTAATGAAAAGTGATTAAAAATATGGTCCTGATCTCTTAGTTTGAGAAATAAGTTGTTAATAAGTTACTGCTGTTTATTGAGTCCTTATATGGCTACTAGTAAATTATGAATAGTCCAATACTGTATTCACAATACCTCTGGTGTATCTGGCACTGGAAGTCTATGGTTGCATTGGCAGGCAGGCAGGGAAACATTCTAGCCAGGATATAGAATCAGAGATATATACTGTATATGGTGTGCTGATATTTCTTGTTCAGGTATGTGTGTGTGCATATATACATATGTGCATACATGTCTTTGTATATGTATATAAGGGTTATGAGTAACTTATGACACAAGATCCTGGAAAAAGCATGTGGTCTTACTACTAGTATAGGGTTACTACTTTCTAGAAATAAATGGGAAAATACATTTCAGTGTTTCTATCCACCCACCCCCACCCCGCCTACCCAACAAAACAGACTAGCAAATCTTCTTATGTAAATCCTCTACACACTGAGCGTAGGAGTTAGAGTTTTTATTTCATTCATTACTAGCACACTCACATCACCGTACGTACCAGTAGGTGTGAAGTAATTTGCAGATAATCTTAGTACTGATCAATATGGAAAAGATTGTGTGGCTACTACCATGAAGAGATGATAAATTAAGGGAAATCTCAACTTTATCTTCATGGTCACCTGAATATCACCAGTAGGAATTAATTTACCTTTAGTGACCATTATGATATATTGAGGAATGTATAAAGTAATAAAGAATTTGATAACAATGCTGACAGCTGTTACTAAGGATTTTTTATTATTGGCAAATGAAAAAGTCCTGCCTTTGAATCGAATCTGAAAAAAATGGGTATGATTTGATGAATTCTCATTCAGTCATTAGCAACCTGGGTGGAAATGCAGTTGATGAGTTTGTTTAAGGTCAGGGCGATGAAGCCATTGTGTTTCCCCTGAAGACCTTAATATTTCATAGTCAGGTCACTGACTTCTAGGAAATTCACAGCCCTCAAGTGACCTAGGTGAAAGTGTCAGAATTCATCAGCAATTCTCAGAAAAGCAATTTTGGAGATTTCTTTATTGTTTGTCCTGTTAACTGGAATCACTCACTGGCAGTGTTATCTTCGTCATTGGCAGTTAAACAGTATTTTCAAAGTAAATCTCACCAGTCAGGATATAAGTTGTGCCCCATACCCCTAATCCTTTATGGATTGAAAAAATGAATACTAGTATCTTCTTTAACATATAAATCAGAGCTTAAAACTGATTTAATCCTCTGGTAATTTATCAAGTAGACAACAGCTTTGAGTGAAAAAAAAACACTGCTTGGGACCTCATTTCCCTAATGTGAATTTACACAATGAAGGAATTACACATTTAAGTGTCTGCGGCATGATGATGTTTTTACCATCTAGTCATTAAAAGAAGTTCTATAGGGCTGACAAGTTTTTCACTGTACTGGAAAGTGGGTGGGAAGATGAAGGTCATTATAAATCATTTGTTTGAAAGATATGTCAGATGTTTGTTAAAGTCATCAGATAGCTCTGAAGCAAGATACTGTAATGTGTATGTTTGTGGGGGTGGTGGAGGGGGGGGGTTGACTTCAAGAATTCTGCTCTTTGGTATTCTTTTGTATAAAGTTAAAGGGATAATAACTCTTCGTTTTGGCCAAAAAATGAATTTTCCTGGAGTAAACAACAATTTTCCCACACTTACCAATGGTTAATGAATCCATTTTTACATTCAAATTTAGTCCCTGGTTTTTTTCTAAAAAGTTTGGTTTTTTGTTAAAATCTCTTAAGAGATTATAACAGAGTATAGCCATCAATGGAGGTCACGTGATCTTAAGACAAGCTCAGATATCAGAATAATAGCTATAACTGCTGTTTTCGTCGTAAAACAGAATATATTATATTTCTATGAGTTATTTACAATGTTTTTATTGTGAAATATAGATTTCATACGAAGAGTTATTATCCCTTTAACTTTAAAAATTTTTTTATTGAATGGTAACAGAGCAAACTGAGTGAGTTTGTATACGTATGCAATACATGCTAAAACATTATTTTAAATGGTTATTATAATACTACCTTATGTGTGATTTAATTTGTGCTATAATTGATTAACAAAAAAAAAAAAAAAAAAAAACTCACAAGTAACACAGTAAAACCACCTGAGCTCCATTTATACCAATTTCAGCTAATATTTTTAACTTCTGCAAACTTTCCCATATATAGCAGGCCCTAGTAATCGATCACATGGCATGCACAATTACAGTTTGTTTTTCTTTTGATTTTAGCACAGAAATGTGAAGAATTTATTAATGCATGTTGAACTGGAGTTTGAAACAACAGAAATGTTGGTGCTTATTTGAGAATAATTGAAGGAATATAATGTGGCTAGATGATGAGTGAGAATGATTGATTATGAAATACAGTATGTGGACCATATTTGAGGATAATATTGTAATCCTGCTTGATTGGATCTGATTAGCAAGTTTTAGGAAATGGATATAATTCCTGTCAGCTTTATCTGTCTCTATATTGGCTCATTAAGAGTGCCATTGTTTAGTGAGAGGGAGGAGCCTGTGTTCACAAACTACATACAAGTCCACTTAAAGCTTTTAAACAGTGGAATTTCAGCATCTGTTAAGTGCTTGAATTTTCTCTGGAAATATTTATGATATTTGTGTGGTGAACAAAAAAAATATTTCAAATGCACAAAAGTTAGGTAACAGTTTCTGAAAAAAAGAGAATTCAGGGGTAAGAATATATGAAAGCTTTTGCTGTAATTTGTGAACTAAATAGATGTGGTTGGTTGTTTGGTAAGTGGGTTTTCTTCACCACAATGTTTATACAAAATGTCAAAATGACAGTTAAAAATAGATTGATTGCTTTTACTATAGTGAGAAATTATGTCCCCATCTTTTTATTATCAGTTATATGCATATAAACACATCAATTTGCCATGTTTAGAACTACAAACTTCCATTCTGCCATTAGTCTATCTATCAGGGGACAAGCCAACAAACATGTAATTTATGCCAGCAGAGGTTTGTTATAGATTCATAGCATGTCACATTTCTGGCATAAAGTCAAATATTGTATTCCCCTAAGTGACATATCCTTCTAGAATTACCCAGCTATCCCCAATGGGTACAAGAGTATAATCGATATCCTTTTAGAAATTGCTTTCAGTTTCATGTGATTTATTTCATTTCATTGGATACGCTTCACCCCAGGACAGATATGGATCAGGATCACGCATCAATTAAAATTGAACGGATCAGGATCGTGCATCAAATTGGACAATGGTCATGCTGTGGTCACTTTGGATCCTTCAGCTAGGGAATTTTTCAGGCAATCTGTATTGGTTTTACTTCTTGAATTTAAACATATACTTTATGTGTTTGAGAATTTCTCAAAGTCATATTTTCTTTACTAGTACAGGTCTATATATCTAGCAGAGCTTCTAATCTTTCCCAATTCAGACCTGGAAAACTACAAAGCCTGCCAGATAAATATACCTGATGTTGATAGTTCCTTCTGAAATGAAAAGTCATTTCGAACTTAATCATTTGCTGTTCGATTAATTTGGTTTGTGAGTAGGAGGAAACTTTTTTTTTTGAGCAAAATTCAATTTGGCTTGTTAAATCCCATAAATCCATACCTTAAGTCTGCACAAAGCTGCATCAGATTACTAAAAATACACAAGTAATAACCAAATATACTTTCAAAATTAGATACAAATTTTGCATTATGTGTATGCCATTGCATGCAGTTAAAATGAAAAAAGACAAAAGCTACCCAGGACACAAATCTAGATAAAATTAATACTGTGCAGGTTTTAAGAGACTTCCAGTTAAGCCAGGCCTCTTGAATCTTTGCCAAATATTACGAGGGAGAAAAAAGGCAGGACTGTTATTGAGGAGAAGAAACAGTAAAACCACTTAGGCCCTGGTGTAACCGTCTGTTCAGTTAAATGCAGTCTGAGAAGGAACTTGTTTTCCCTATTGAATGAAGATTTTACTGTTCCAGATATCTGTAAGTACTAAGTTGAACACAGTGAGTGGTAGCTTGAGTTGACTCAAATAGCTTTAATTAAAAAATGCACATTAGGAGGTACTAATTGGACATTCTCTTTAGAGTATTTTTTTTTCCGAATCAAGTTAAAAAAGCCCTAACCTTCCTGTGGAGACATTTATTATTTTTAAAAATTCTTCCTGGTGATTTGATCTTAAATGCTGTCACCTTCCCGTGGAGACTTATTTATTATTTTTAAAAATTCTTCCTGGTGATTTGATCTTAAATGTCAAGGTATTATCTACCCCCACTCACTTGTTTGAGGCTTTCTGATTGTGGCTCTAGAATTGATTTATGTATTTGTTCAGATATGTCCTGGGTTTCAGTTTCCAGATATTGGCAACTGTTATCACAGACAAGTCAATTAATTTTGTTTTAATTTTGCTTTAACATGACTTTTTAAGTATTCTTTGTGTCTGTGAGCTTATAGCTGTCATCTTAGGATGTTATTAAGTAGTTTTTAAGCTGACACCCCCCCCCCCAAAAAAAAAAAATTAGAAAGAAGAAAAA